TATATATATATTTATATTTTCTTCCTTTCTCATGAATTAGGAGTTATTGTGCTGCTGAAAAGTAAAAAAGTATAACAACTGAGAAAATGTGAATCAACACATGGGACAACCAGTGTTTTGTACTTTCTGACAGATACGTGAAATGCTGATGAAAATATACCATTATATTTTACCTGAACAGGCCGCCCATCATCTTGTCCAATCATATTTTTCCATTCGAGCAAAGAACGCTGAATACTTTCAAGTCCGGTCTCCCACAGCCTAACACTGCCTCCCATATCCACCGAGACAACTCCACTGTTTCCATGTGCAGCCAGCAGAATGTCTGTGTCTGATATTTTAGACAGCCAAGATGTGTACGGAGACACTGATACAGCTCTAAAACACACAAGATTGTAGTTGTTCATAACAGTAAATAAAAAAAAAAAGAAATGAGATCATGACTCAACAACACAATTATAAGAAAAGATAAAAAATAATACATTGCCACATCATTTTCAAACAGTGAAACAAAAGGAAGCCAGTAAAATTGCTGTAAATCTCAATGTACAGGGCAGAAATAACAGTAAAGTATCTATAAGAAGTTACTAGAGTCTGACCAGAACTTTGTAAAGTAATTATATATGACCCCTGGAATAAAAATATAATACCTTGAAACATTTTTAACAGTTTAGGGAATTAAAAGCAGAGGTGTGGACTACATTTGCGACTACATTTGCAATATTTATCATTAGTAAGGCAATAATAGAATAGGACCTTCTTGAAATGAGGCTATGTGGTTGATATGGAGTTCCTTTAGATCTCTCCTCACAATTTTAAAAATAATTTAAACAATTATAAAATGTAAGAAGCCTGATAATAAAAAAATAAAGTTTCAATATACAGAAAGATATATGCACAAATATTTGTTGGTATTTCTGTAAAAACATTGTAATGTCATAATGCCCATCTTGACAACTACCGTAGTTTAATTAGAAAAACATGCAAGAGAGTGACAAAGGAACAGGGTACAAGTGCCACAATTGGACCTGTGTTACTGAGGTACCCCCCCAAATTCAAGGAAACATGTCACAAAAGGGATATGAAGGCTGCCATTGCTGACCCTCTCCTTCTGAAAATGCTAGTTACCAGGCTCTCATTCTGATACCTAATACACTGGCTAAGGACTTTCCTGATTTGCATACGCGCTATAGGTCAGTGACTTAGAAAGCCAATGGATGAGCATATTATTATTACTCAGGATTTATATAGCGCCAACAATTTGCTCAGCGCTTTACAAAATAGTGGAGACAGCACCGTTACAATACAATTTACAGTACAATACAGTTTCAGAACAATATGGTTGGGATGGCCCTGCTCGTGAGAGCTTACAATCCAGTAGGAGGGGCAAGTGATAGAAAAGGTAATAATTGTTTGGATTGAGTTATTGGAGGAAGTAAAAGCCAGTTATGTTGAGATGAGATATGCTTCTCTGAAGAGATGGGTTTTTAGGGATCGCCTGAAGGTGGGCAGCGTAGGAGATAGGCGGACAGATTGGGGTACGGAGTTCCAGAGGATGGGGGACACTCTGGAGAAGTCCCGGAGGGGAGCATGGGAGGAGGTAATGAGAGAGCTAGAGAGCAGGAGATCTTGAGAGGAACGGAGAGGACGGTTTGGGTGATATTTTGAGATGAGATCAGTGATGTAGGTTGGGGCGGAGTTGTAGATGGCTTTGTATTTTGTTGTTAGTATTTTGAATTTTTTTTCGTTGGGCAAGTGGGAGCCAGTGGAGGGATTGGCAGAGAGGGGCGGCAGACACTGAACGGTTGGTAAGATGGATGAGTCTGGCAGCAGCATTCATGATAGACTGAAGGGGGGATAGCCTGCTTAGTGGTAGGCCAACAAGGAGGGAGTTACAGTAGGCGAGACGAGAGATTTACAAAGGAGTGAATTAGAAGCTTTGTGGTTTCGTTTGTTAAAAAGGGGCGTATTTTGGAAATGTTACGGAGGTTGAGTTGGCAAGATTTGGATAGTGATTGGATGTGGGGCTGAAAGGAGAGCTCAGAGTCAAGGATTACACCGAGTACCCTGGCTTGATGGGGAGGGAACACGGAGAGGAGGAAAAATTATAAGCTCAGTTTTTGGCAGATTGAGTTTGAGGTAGTGGTGTGACATCCATGCTGAGATGTCACTGAGTAGATTTGAGATACGTGAAGAGACAGAGGGGGTGAGTTGAGGAGTGGAGAGATAGATTTGGGTGTCATCAGCATAAAGATGGTATTGGAAGCCATGGGAGGCTATCAATTGACCCAGGGAAGAAGTGTAGATAGAGAATAGAAGGGGCCCAAGGACAGACCCTTGG